AGCAGGCTTCTGTACAGCACCGCAGACATCTTCTGGAGGCCCCACCCCCAAGTCAGGCCATCCACCTCCTCCTCTTCCTAAGAACCCTTCATACAGCGATTCTTTTTTTTTTTTGTTTTTTTTTGAGATGGAGTTTAACTCCTGTTACCAGGCTAAAGTGCAATGGTGCGATCTCGGCTCACCGCAACCTCCGCCTTCTGGATTTCAAGCAATTCTCCTGCCTCAGCCCCCGAGTAGCTGGGACTACAGGGCACACGCCACCATGCCCAGCTAAATTTTTTGTATTTTTGGTAGAGACAGGGTTTCACCATGTTGACCAGGAGGGTCTCGATTTCTTGACCTCATGATCCACCCACCTCGGCCTCCCAAAGTGCGGGGATTACAGGTGTGAGCCACCCGCCCAGCAATCTTTTACTAGAACCTCAAGGTGATAGCACCTAGATTTCAGTGCCTCATCTGGCCAACTATCTGCAGCTGCCAATGCCCAAGGAAGCCTCCCTAGCTACCAAGACCTGAACTCAGGACCTTACCTTAAGGAGAAGATGTCCTGTCATTTCTTTCCCATCAGAAGCTGCTTGGACCAAATGCTATCTCTGTGTGGTGACCAGGACATTCCCTCACCCTGTCTCCCTAGGCTGGGGAGTGCAGATTTCTCCTAAGCTCCCTGTAAGTACCTAACAGTCTCGTGTGGCTCCAGCTCACACAGGAATATTCCACGGCCCCATATTTCCAAAACTCTTTTCCTCCCACTCTGAATCCATCCTCTACTGCATGTTCCCCTCACAGCGCAGGACACTGTTTTCTTCACATCCTCGGTTTGCCTGCACATGCCCCAGACTGACCTTTCTTTTGTAGAACTGCCTCTCCCTCTTTGGACAGTGTCTTTCTGCTACTGCACATGAAGATGTCCCGCCCTCCCCTGCTCACGGAGAGAGTGCCTGATCTGAGCTAGGGCCATCATATCCAGTACTTACCTGGACTAGAAGACAGGCAGGGTGGCCAAAGACTACATGAATCTCTGAAGCTCATCCACTTGAGAGAGAGACCCGGAAGATATGGTCCTTCATTCCTGCTGTGTATATCCAATGTGACTGAGCTCTGAATAAAATGTACAAGTTATAATAATGTAGTAATTGACTCAGCAAACCAGGACACGAACATGTTAGAGGGTGAGGTGTTGAGAGGCATGTTTGGGGGGTGGTGGTGATGAGCGAGTATTTGAATAGAGATAGGGCCTAACCTCAGAAAGCAAGATAATAATAGCTATTTAGAGATAAAGGAGCTAAATAATTATGTACACATGGGGCCTGCTGTTTTACTAAACAAATTTTGAAGTATACATAACTCTGATGAAGTATCCTAAATAAAAAACATTTTGCCATATATTTTGTGATCTATATTTACATCCACATATATATTTCTATCATCGTATTTTGAATATAAATTTGTACCAGTCATGTTAATCCTCTTTTCCTTTAAGGATTTGAGTTTGATGTCATGCATAACACGTGTCCCCCCGAACGACTACAGAAATGTTGGCAAAGGCAGGCTCAGAGGAAATGGTAGGCAATACTACCCATGTTTTGGCCAGAAGAAGGAGATAGAAAGTATTCTCACAAATGTTAACAATGTGACTTGTTTATATCGTCTTTCACAGTAATTTGGGCAGAAATTAGTGAAAATCTGAAATGTATAAATACCTTGATCTGGCCATTCCATTTCAGGTATCTGCGGAGAAGTAGACAGGGGATGCACGACAGAGTATGTGTTCAGTCTGATCCCTGCAGCTGTGTTTGTAATAATACACACTGGAGCAATTTCACAGGCCATCAGTAGAGAAGTTGAAGAATGATCCACTTGTATCAAGAAGGATGTTTAAAAGATCAAAGCCTGATGGAAATGCTGGAGGCAATGGCGCTGATAGGAGCTCATGTGTATTGAACAATTACTATGTGAGAGGCATTGGGCTCCACGCTTTTCCTGCACAGCTCATTTAAACATTGGCAACCTGAGTATTCTGGTTTAGTGCATTTGACATAGAAATGGAGGCACAAAAATTCACGTGTTTAACTTCAGACCCTGGCAGATTAGATTTCTCCCCCAAAGTCTGTGGCTTCACAGAGGTGTGACTCAGGTTCTGTCATTCTCCATTTTAGAAATTTCCAGTGTTCCAAATATGAGCAGCTGAGGAAACAAACTCAAAACCCTGAAACACCAAGATAAGGGAAGATGTTGTGGGGGGAGATTAAAAATGGAGTTTTTTTGCCCCAAGCAACAAGAGACAGGTTGGAAAATAGACAAGAGACAAGTTGTGTGTGTGTGTGTGTGTGTTTATATAAGATGGGGTTTCACCATGATAGCCAGGCTGGTTCTCAAACTCCTGACCTCAGGTGATCCACCCACCTCAGGCCTCCCAAAGTGCTAGGATTACAGGCGTGAGCCACAGCACCCGGCCTGAAGAGAAGTTTTAAGATATATTGGTCCAAGGAAGAGACTCTTCAGATGGAAGGTCATGTCCTCTAGAAACATTCATGTGACTGGATGGGCTCGAACCACTGTTTCAGTCAACATCTGACAGCACCAACCTAGTGGTCCAGAGACACTGCTTGTGAAACAGTGAAAGCTGCTGCTCAAGTGTCATTCATCATTGTCAGATACTGTCATTTAGTAGTACAGGGAGGTATTCTCTGTTCCAAGCTCGAGTACCCATAACTCTGCTGTTTTGTTGAACCTTCCTCCCCACCACCAGCCTCTTTAGAAGACTGGGAGCTCTGCAACATCCAGGCAACAGTCCTGTCCTTGTGCATGTTTGGGCATTGATCCAGGCCCAATTCTGTGGGAGACTCCTCCATGCACATTCCAGGTGCCCAGGTGACAGCGGCAGTCTTCTAGAGTCTGGGGTCATCCACTTTCCCATTTCTAGCCCACCTCACCATCATGAAGCCTGGTCAGGGTTGCCAGAGATTCCAGTGAGCAGGTGCTATTTGTGTGTGTGTTTGCCAGAAGAAAACAAGAAACCTGCTGTGTGCCCACCTGGCTGATCCCTCCACCTTTCTAGCCAAGGGCTTCATGAGCCAGGGCCCTTGGGGTTGCTCACAAGGCAGCCCCTCACCGAGTAGGCATTGCTTTATTATGTGTATGTACATGTCCCCAGTAATTTGAAATATTTAAAGAATGGTTAAATGATCACTTGACAGTTACACTATAAACAAAAGATACACAAGTTAAACATCATTATTTTGAGAAGATACATTTTAATGTCATTTTCAATCTTTAAAATCTCTGGTTTTATTTTGAATAAAATCTTCAATCTTAAAAAGATTACTGCAAAAAAAATTACAGTCCATTTGCATTTTCAAATAATAAACTGGAAATATGTTCTTATGAATGTCAACAGTCAATGCAGTGTGGAATATTAAGAACTGACTTTCATATAACAGGTAAGTTTAGAGACATGAGAAAATGTTTAATAAATTTTAATGGTGTATGTTTATTTAAATCTAGTTTTCTATTCTGTTTTGGGAAATAATTGTCTGTTGCTTTTAGTGTATTCTCCTTCCTGTCCACATATGTGGAATCTACCTATTCTCTTCTCTTTTGAAATAGTTTAAAAAACTCAAAGAGAATGGCCTGGGCTTTTCATGTCCTTAGTCTGATAGACCTTTCCTGGCTGCTCAAATAGTTATTAGCAGCTAAGAAAACTACGTCTCTTGTCAGCAACAAATCAAAAAGGCTTCAAAATCAGTGAATTCTCTCTTTTGCTGTGGCCTTATGTGCTGACAGTCTTAAGAGAAAACATTTTAATAGTATAGATTAAAATTAACTTTGGCAAAAATTAAAATGCAGGCAGGAAATTTTTTTTCCAACAACAGACAACTAGGAAAAGCAAAGATACAGGAAAAATTGAAAATTTCCAGTAGAGAGATATAAATATAATAATGGACACCACCAGGGATGATTAATGAAGAAAATGTTTAGGGGATGGTCATTTGAACACAGCATATTAATACTTTTAAAAACCATTTTTCCAATTACTTTGGTATAAATAAGCTGTCTCTGAAAGGTACAGATCTGGCATCACGATAATGGTGATAGACAAATAGTGAAACGGTCCTGGTATCACGATCATGATGGTAGACAAATGGTGGAAGAGTTTTGGTATCACGATCATGGTGATAGACAAATGGTGGAAGAGTCCTGGTATGACAATCATAATGGTAGATAAAAGGTAACACAGTCTTGGCACCCCAATCATGGTGGTAGACAAATGGTGCAACAGTCCTGGTATCACAATCATGGTGGTAGACAAATGGTAGAACAGTCCTGGTACCACGAGCATGGTGGTAGACAAATGGTGGAATAGTCCTGGTATCACAATCATGGTTGTAGACAAATGGTGGAACCGTCCTGGTACCACGAACATGGTGGTAAACAAATGGTGGAACAGTCCTAATATCACGATCATGGCGGTAGACAAATGGTGGAACAGTCCTGGTATCACGATCATGGTAATAGACTAATGGTGGTTTCCTGGTATCACAATCATGGTTATAGACAAATGGTGGAACAGTCCTGGTACCACGAGCATGGTGGTAGACAAATGGTGGAATAGTCCTGGTATCACAATCATGGTTGTAGACAAATGGTGGAACCGTCCTGGTACCACGAACATGGTGGTAAACAAATGGTGGAACAGTCCTAATATCACGATCATGGCGGTAGACAAATGGTGGAACAGTCCTGGTATCACGATCATGGTGGAACACAAATGGTGGAAGAGTCCTGGTATCAGGATCATGATGGTAGACAAATGGTGGAACAGTCCTGGTATCACAATCATGGTGGGAGACACACGGGACCTTCTCTGCCTGCAGATGGGTGAGGTAGCATTGACCCTGCAGTGTTCCCAGAAAAACACTTAGGCTGAATTTAATCATGAGGACATTTTCAGACAACTTCAGAGGGTAGAGCTTTGAGTCAGACAGCTGACCTGTCCTCTACAAACAAGCCCATGTCACCACCATCAATGACAACAACAAAAGGTGAGGAGACACTTTGGGTTCAAAAGAACTAAAGAAATGTAGCTACATTATCTTTTTACTCTTTTTCAACCCAAAATGTCTCTTCTCCTTTTGGTTGTGTGATTTGTGGTGACATGGGCTTTCTGAAGGAGAAAGGTCACTTGTGCTGCTCACTGCTCTACATTCTGAAGTTGTCTGGAGATTACCTCAGGCTATGAAACTCAGGCTAAGTGTTTCAGCAAGAACATGGTGGTGTTCATACTCTGCACCGGCAGAGTCCCACGTGACACGCTGTCTTAGTGTGGAAATATGACCCCTACCCGGGAGACCAGGGGGAGGAGTCTTGTCACCGTCGTAGTAAGAAACCTACTGTCCATGTCCAAAGACAAGCGAACACACTCTTCCACAAATAAAAAATAACATATGTGTAAGCCTGGCATGTGAAATAAAACTCAGGATAAGCTGCATAAGTTGAATACAATACATCCAGTGAGTACCGGAAGACTTCAGGGTCTTCTGCTTCCACCAGCTCCATGCTGAGCCTAGAAAAGGAAGGAAAAACCAAAGAATAAGTCAGGGAAAATAAGACACCGCAGAGCCCCAACTAGATTTCATGGGGAGCACAAGAAAGTGGTTAATAAAGAAAAAACATAGATCCATTAATGACATAACAAATTATTGCTTTATGTCGGGATGGGCAGGAGTAGGGTAAAAAAGAATCAAAGAGAGAGGGAAAGTAAGCTCAGTGATCCGTCCAGGTGACACACTGATGAGGGAGTAAAAGGACACTCTGAGTGAGTACCCTCAGGACACACAGCGTACACTGATCATAAAACCAAGTATCGTCAACCTACGGTAGTTAGTAAATGATAAGGGGAGGGAGAAATGGAAACCTAAGTATCTACTGCAATGAAAACCAACAGCAATGTTAGTAGAAATCATTCAGGCTTCATTGAAAACATGGTATCGATATTGTCAGCCCACTCTTTTACCTGGACCTGGTGTCTCCAGGTGTCAACACAAAATTAGCGGTTGACAATTGCTCAAAGTTACCTGGGGCATGGTGGGCCTTGGTCTTCTTCTTGGTCATTTTTAATCTCTGCAATAAATGCAGACAGGGACAGACAAAATAAGCCAATTCTCCTACACCCATAACCGTCCACTGTCTAATCCCTGCACAGGGACCTCAGGCTCCTCAACATGAGAGCAGGATAATGTGAGAGACAGACTTCAGGAGGTCTGAAGGCCAATCATGAGAGAGATTTCTTGGTTCCTGTCTCAGACCAATGATGAAATGTCCCTATTCTGGTAGACCATTATCCTTTTATCCCAAGTTTCTACAGACAGTTACACCAAGTTTGTACAAACAGGGAAGAACCTCACAGACATGCTTGGGGAACAAAACTCATGAGGAACTTGGTAGCTGGCAAGAGACATTTAATTCAGATTGACAGACAACTTGTGGGCATGTGCTGCAGAGCTTGGCGTGAGTGTGCAACACCTGCCTTAAGTTTCAATGTCCTGACAGTCGGTCCAGGGTGCGACGGGCATGGCCTGAGACTAGAGACAGGGCAAAGCTCACTGTCCCACCCCATGCCGGTGCTTCAGACTGGAATCCAGAGTGATTGAAATCTACACTCACGTACAGGCTCAGCCCACAGTGATGACAACTCTCAGCCCAGCCAGGGGAGCAGTGCCCAAAGACTAAGGGGTCTATCTGGGACACAAAATGGAGCTTTAGCGCCTTCACAATGGAGTCACTCACTGTCTATGTCAACAGCCGAGATGACTTGCTGGTCCTCTAATGAGTGGAAGTTGCTCCTCAAAGTCTCATTGAAGGCAGATGGGCCAGGAGGAACTGAGAGAGTCGAATCACCTTCATCCCAGGACTCCTGCGGGGCTTCCTCCCCACAGACTCCTGCAGATTCCTGATGAGCCAGGCAGGACAGGACGGCAGATTAAACCAACAGATTAGACAACAAAGTCCCCCAGCTGATCTGATGGAAGTCACAATGGAGTGGTCACAGAAAGCAAAGGCATTTTTCCTTCAAGAGAAAAAAAAACTATCCTTCTAAATGCAGGGTGAAGGGTGACTACCCTGGGGACACAGCACAAATGAGCAGCAGGTGCTCAGTGCATTTGCCACAGATGAGCCACTGCAGGCCACCCAGACTCCCTGGAAACTACCATCATGAACTGCAACACGAGCACTAACACGGGGATTCAACTACCTCGCGTAAGTTGTGTTGAATTTTACATGCAGCATTCAAGTGAACAGAGCTCCTGAGGCATTTCAGACACCCAGATCTTCTGTACTAAGGGCCTCCCTTTTCCAGTATTTTGATAGCATATGTATATTTTTTGAATTTCTTCTCTTCACAAATCCTAGCAAACATGCTAACAACAAATGGGTAGAAAGCATATCCACATCTCTCCCTGGAATTAAACCCATGGGAGAGAACAGGGGAAACCAAAAAAATCCCTGTTTGCTGAGTTCACCTGGCTCAGCAGATTGCAGGTCCCTATCTTGGGAGGACTAAGAAATTAAAACCTATACAAGTGCCACACATCACCCACAGCACTGTCAATGAGGACAATCTGTAGCTGGTGAATGGAAGGCAGAGTTCTAGTCATCATTTTCTCCTTTTCCTGGATCTGCAGTCTCCAGGTGTCACTATGGAACTAACAGCCCACAGCTCCACAGCATTACCTGGGGGGCACTGGCCCTTTCTCCTCCTCTTCCTCAACATCACCTTGACTTCCTGTAAATAAATTCAGAGAAGCAGGTCACATTAAGCAAATCACACTTCACATATGACCAAATCAGTGTTTAGTCATAGCACAGGCACAGAAATGATCTCACGGCAAGAATACAAATTCTGACAGGAAGATTCTAGGGTGCCCCAGATGAAGCCTGGTGAGTAGATGAGCCTGCTTTCCAGATGCACAGGCCAAAAGCTCCCTGTATGGGTAGGCCATAATGCCATATTCTCTCCCTGAGTCTATGCAAATTTAAACCAAATTTTTTCCCAGAAAATCTCCAAAAATAAGTCAAACTCTTTCCCGGGAGTGTTGCTGCAATACTGACTTATCTCACCAGGGAGCAAGGTCATTGAATGGTCAGAAGCATCTATACATGAAACGAGATGGATATGTAAATTCTAACAACACTTGCTGCAAATAGAATCTGTAAGCTTTGCGCAGTGGCAGTATCATAGCCAATGGGGTTTATCTGAGATGAGATTATCGCTAATTGAAAACAATCCCAATACCTCGCCGAGATGACATGTAATAGAGTCGGCATTGACAACTTTTGACAGTCTCTAGGGAGAAGGAATGAAAAAAGACAAAACAAAAGATAAAACAATCTCTGGGCTGGGCATAGTGGCTCAGGCCTGTAATCCCAGCACTCTGAAAGGCCGAGGTGAACACTTCACGAGCTCAGGAGATCGGGACCATCCTGGCTAATACGGTGAAAGCCTGTCTCTACTAAAAATACAAAGAAATTAGCTGGGCGTGGTGGCACGTGCCTACACTCTTAGCTACTCAAGAGGCTGAGGCAGCAGAATCGTCTGAACCCAGGAGGCAGTTTGTAGTGACCTGAGATCATGCAACTGAACCCCAGCCTGATTGAGAGACTCCACCTCCAAAACAAAACAAAACAAAACAAAACCTATGATTTGAAAGGACAAAGTAGGTGAAAGATTTAAGGTCAGGAGTTCAAGACTAGCCTGGCCGATATGGTGAAACCTCATCTCTACCAAAAATTAAAAGTTCACTTGGTGTGGTGATGGGCACCTGCGGTCCCAACATCACAAAGCGAGGGGCTTTACCTCATTTGGATAAGCGGTCATAAGTGTTCGCACTGCAAGATGTCTGCCTTTGCAGATGGAGAGAGAAATTTGCCTGACTTTGCAGATGGAGAGACAGAAAGGAAGGAAGGAGAGAAATCAAGTGCTCAGTGACAGTTACTAAAGACACTGCTGAAGATACAGCCTGGGAACCTTCATTCTCAATCCAGAGATCTTTCCACTCCAACAACCCCTCTCCTGTCACAGCTTCCTTCCTGTCCTTTACACCTGGAAAGATGCTGCCTCTTGTTCCAAAGACCGCCTTTCATCAGATTATGGAAGGAGCAGAGTCCTCTTTAAGCTCCCCACAGCGGGTTCTGTGTATTATTACCGCATTGCCCCCAGGACCCGAGAACAGAGCTTTGCCTACTGGACCTCAGCAGAAACCTGCACTGAATGGCAGTTCACGAGCCTCAGACATTTAGACCAACAGACTGGATGCTACTTGTCTGCAGGATCTCATGTGGTACAGAGAGAATTCCTGTCAACATGATTAAGCCTATTGCTGAGAAAAACAGGTGGTTCTGTGCTTGTGTCAGGAATCATAGCTGAGATGTTACGGAGTCCCACACCCACCTTACTGCAGATGTGGAAAAGTGGCTACATACTTTGGCCTCTCTCATCCGCTTGTAACAATATGTTAAGATACAAATTTACATTTGCTTAGAAGTATGAAAACAAATAAATAAATTCTGCCGAACGAGAGTGTTCAGTTTCTCAGAGAAAAGACAGGATATCGTTCAGCACTTCCGTGATAGTGAATGAATAGAACTTACCTTCCGTCTTCAGCCGGCAGTCCAGGTAGTAGGCCGCTTGACTCCTAAGATGTTTATTTTTGCTGTCTCTGCATTTCTGTTCTTCATCATGATCTTTTTGATCATCTGTAAACAAATTCAGAAAAGCAGGTCACATTCAGCAAATCTCACTTCACACAAGACCAAATCAGTGTCCTGTCATAGCAGAAGAACATAAAATATTCTCAATGGAAGATTGAGATATTATGATGGGAATGTTCTAACAGGCCCGAGATTAAGTTGCCTCAGAAGCAGATGAGCCTGCTTTTCAGATCCACGGGACAAAATCTGTCTCATCTTGTAGAAATCAATCCCATATCCTAAGACTTAAGTCAGTGAAAACAATTAAAACTTTTTTCCCAAAATCTTCAAAACTTGCCCTACTTTCCAGAAGGGTTGCTGCAATACTGATCTATCTCATTATATCATGGTCAAGGAATGGTTAGAGAAATTTATATAGGAGACTGAACCAATGGGTCAGTACTTACTCATCCATACAATAGAACTTACTGTAGGTCTTCAGCCGGCAGTTCAGGGAGTAGTTCGCCTCACTCAGAAGACATCTATTTTTGCTGACTCGGACATTCGGTTTGTTATTTTCTTGCTGGGAGCAGGATTTCTCAATGCTTTCTGGAACGTTCACCTCTGTGTATTTTCTGTAAGGAGGCCGGCCAGATGCCACCTTGCTGATGTTTGAAGCAGATAACAGAAAGCCAGGGACTGGGGAGAAGAAACACAAACACATGGTGGGTTAGAATCTGGTGACATCAAATTAGTTCAATCAGGACTGAGGGATGACACTGACAGCCTTGCCTACTGATTTGAAGATGTTATTTCCCCGAATTACTCTTCTCATCTCCACTCTTGATCTCCTTAAAGTCAAGTTGTCTTAGCTACTCATTCAAATTGAAGCCAGTACATAAACATTTCTACCTCTTTCTTCTTATAAGTTCTGAAGGATCTTATATGGTACGCAGAAAATTCCTATAAACATGATTTAGCCTCTTGCAGAGAAAAGCAGGTGGTTTGGTGCCTGTGTTAGAATCAATAGCTGGATGTTAACCCCAGTCTCACATATGTCTTACTACAGATGTGCAAAAGTTGCTAAATAGTTTCGCCTCTGTGTTACGTCTTTAACAAAATGTTAAAATACTCATTGCTATTTTCTAGAAAGTATGAGGATGAAATTAACTTTGAAGAAGAGAGTGTATAATTCCTCAGAGAAAAGAAAAAACACTTGTTGACCACTTCCGTGATGCTGAACATACAGGAACTTACCTTCCGTCTTATGCCGGCAGCACAGGTAGTAGGCAACTTGACTCATAAGTTTCTTTTTCCTGTCTCTGTATTTCTGTTCTTCGTCGTGACCTTTTCGATCTTCTGTAAATAAATTCAGAAAGAAGGTCACATTAAGGAAACCGCACTTCACACAAGACCAAATCAGTGTCCTGTCA